GTCTTCAAAAATACTTGTTTACTTTTGTGACTAATTGTTTTAGGTCTTCCAAACCTTTGAAAGTTTTTAATTTTATTGCCAAGCATGAAAAATCGCATGAACTAAACATATTTAAAGCTAAAAAATAGTCCTTTAAGTATTTCTTAAGAAATTTTAAAAAATGTCAAATATATTTATAGCCTATTAGCCATCTCGAGACTTTTGATCTCTCCGACTCGTGGAGATCAAAAAAAGCCAAATTCTGGAAAAAATTAATAGTTTAGTGCATTAGGTAATGCTTCATTCACCATGTTGAGCTATCGAATTTCCATTTATTAGGAATGCAACAGCATAATTTAAGTGACAAAAAAAATTTAAAATCTGGATGATGATAAAAATGCCTTTTCCAGTTATTTTGCACAAAAAGCAATTTATTTTTATCAACCCGATTATTAAAACTTCCACTCAAAGTTGCTAACTATTGTTGATAACGATGGTGCTTACAGCATTACGTCAGCGATCCTTTAAGGATACAGCTTGAAATACGCGCTTAAGAAAATGGATACAGTTCGAATTACGTGCGTAAGAAAATGGGCACTCAAATTTAACAACTAAGTGAAGAATTTCCTTCTTACTTTTCCTTTCTTTTTTAAAAAAAGCATTATCATTATTGGGCAGGGTCTCGGAGTTGGGATAGCTGGATATATTGAATATATAATTTTTCATGCATCACTTCGTAATACTAATCGATAAAGTGGATTTTAAGAATCTGAATTCGTACATTAATCCAACTATTTTAAACTTGTTGGACCTGTAACAAGATTGTAAAAAGAACTGTTGACTTTTATATCTCCTAAAAAAACAATTTAAAAACTCAAAACTAAGTGATTTAGGCAAATAGACAACATCATACTACGAATTTATTTAAATATATTTCTTTATTCTTTTAAAGGCAGAACAATTTTCATAAGAAAAGTTTGACATATTAACAAAATTTTACATAAAATTTCAATATTTATATATTTTCTCTTAAAAAAATTGGAACAATATACAGCAATAAAGAATTTTACTTTGGTATTAAAATTAAATAATGCATTTTTCTAATAATTAAAAAAAGTATTTAGAATATATCTCTAAAACAGTTTCAGAATTACGCATGGACACTATCAACGAAATGACTCTGTCAATAAAATGACCTTGCCGACAAAATTACCCTGTCGATGAAATGACCCTGTCGACGTAATAATCTTGCAAAGATATGACTTCGTCGACTAAATGATCCTGTCGATGAAATGACCTTGTCGATTAAATGACCCTGTCGATGAAATGACTATGTCGACGAAATGACCCTGTCGATGAAATGACCCTGTCAAAGAAATAACCCTGTCGATGAAATGGCCCTGTTTACGAAATGACCCTGTCGACGAAATGACCCTGTCGATGATATGACCTTGTCAGCGAAATGACCCTGTCGACGAAATGACCCTGTCGACGAAATGACCTTGTCTATGAAATGACCCTGTCGACGAAATGACCCTGTCGAGGAAACGGCCTGTCGACGAAATGACCTAGTCGATGAAATGGCCTGTCGATGAAATGAACCAGACCCATACCGATCACGTTCATGAACCTATTGTTGTACACAACGTGTTCTCCCCCTCTCTCTCCCCAGTAACTGGTAGTGAAATGGGATTCTTGGGAGAGCATCACTCTGAACCACTGCTGATTATCCCACTCAATACGTTCCTTACACTAATGTAATCATTCTCGATGATGACGAGGTTAAAGTGCGATTTCAACGAAAAGGTGCATGCAAACCAACTTGATTTCATCACCGTGAGATGGTTCTGACGGAAACATGTATACCGGTGGTTGCAAGGTCTGCAACTATCTACCTAGGAGTGACATTTTTGTTACTTAACGCTACTGGGGATACATATGAGGTATGGTGTTCCTACAACAACCACCGGTATGCTATCGCATAACATTTCCAGCTTTAGTGGCCTTTTCTAATCTCAAGATGACACTTTTTGACATTCCCTTTACTCCGGCAAAAGTGGTGACATTTTAATCTGATTCCAGTAACCTAACCGCTCGTCCACGACCTTAAGAACTCTAATGATATCTTGCTGACATTTTGCACTCAATTATTGCAACACCTCACTGAATTTCACAAAAATAAGATCAACAACCTATGGAGTTATTTGGTTAAATAACTAGCATATGCATTTTAAAATGAATGAGGAAACTCCCAACTCTTACCATTGTTTTCACCCCCTCCCTCCCTCCCTGCTTCAAAATCAGGGCGCACACGGGCACTCCTGCCATAATAAAATTTAACAATTTTTTGCTTATGTACTAATTTTGATCTAAAATTGGTATGAATTGACCGTTTCAGCTAGGATTTTGTTACAATGAGTTGTATACTTAAATTTCGACTTCATATTTATCATCTGACGGGAAGATAAATTAATTTTCGGATTCGGAATATACCTAGATTCTGGTAACGTTTCATAAAGATTTTCAATTCCAGATTTTTTATTTTCTCAGTGAAATCCATTATTTTATGTAGGATATCTAGGACTACTAGTTAAAATATCAAAACACCGAATGTCAGTAAACTGTCTCATTTTTCTGCTGTTTAAACGTATTTCATTACAAATCATAGTTTTAGGAATACCATGTGTCGAAAATATGGACTACCTATTAATAACTTCCATTGCAGTTTCATTGTTTAAGCGTACTATAACAATCCATTTAATTGCATAACAACCTAATACAAGAAAACAAATTTCCTCCGTAATGTAAAACATCTACGCTCATTATTTCATAAGGCAGAGTCAATTGAATAGTTTCTGAGAAATCGAATTTTAAATACAAGGTGTCCCAAAACGACCGTATAAACTCTGCACAGCTAGATTCCTCGTTGGGAGTACATAAAAACTGCCCAAAGAAGCGTTCCTGTACGATCCATAGTTTACGAGAAAAATACGAAAAGCAAAGTATGACGTCACTGCCGGTGCAAGAAGAAAACACTTTATTGGACATATCCACAGCGTGCTCAAGCCTGCCTCGACATGCACGGCGGACGCTTTAAACATCTGCCTTAAATTGTGCATAGTATACTGCTGTTGATATGTTCAATAAAGAGTTTTTTCTTGCACCGACAGTGACGTCATACTTTGTTTTTCGTATTTTTCTCGTAAACTATGGATCGTACAGGAACGCTTCTTTGGACAGCTTTTATGTACTCCCAACGAGGAATCCAGCTGTGTAGAGTTTATGCGGTCGTTTTGGGACACCCTGTATAGGGGAGTGTCGGGTACCTCCGCCCAGCGGGTATCCCCGCCCACTGTCAATTTCATATGTATAGAATATTTTTTCAAGNTGGAGATTCCTTTGTTTTACAAGATGATAATGCGAGACCACATACAGCTCGTCTTGTGGAGAACATGCTGGAGGCTGAAACAATACAGCATATGGAATGATCAGCGTGCTCTCCTGACCTGAATCCAATCGAGCATGTTTGGGGCGTGCTCGCGCGACGCATTGCTGCGAGACCAAGGCCTCCATTAACTATCCGTGACTTGGAAATTGCCCTTCTTGAGGAGTGGAACTGTATTCCCCAAACTCTCATCGATACCATCATCGCATCCATGGGAAGCAGGTGTGCAGCAGTCTCAGCTATTCGAGGAGACCACGCGCCTTATTAACAGTACGGCATCATTTCCAAACGTTACTTTTTTATCGTTTACATGTAAACCAATTGTTGCCTTAAATCGGCTTTTTGTTTTTTTTCCATAGTTTCCATGAATTAAAGCTTAATTCCATATGTTTTTACGTCTTTTTTTCTGTTTCGCGCATTGATACGTATGCGCTATCCATTTCATGCAGCTCTGTGGATGTCTAGCACGATTTTCTTACTTTCTTTGCTTGCTCCCCTAATTTTTTTTTGAGCAGTGTAGAATGAAAAGTATTTAATGTGGAAAAAAACTATATCTTTGAGACCAAATTAATTATTTTCTAGAAGTATGCCCAGTTGGATAAAACCGGATTGGATTGAGCGAATGTTTACAACTAGTTTCATATCATTTCTGACAAAAGCCAGAAATACTGGATCCCGTTTTTATCCACCGATCCATTATTGTTCAACTGCTTCCTACAAAATAATCAGTCTACCATTAATTTGTTAAAAATTAACTTTCGCATTTTTATGCGATAATTAAATATGGTCAACCAGTTATTGTAATGCATAATCAACTAAGACTAGGCAATTAAATAGTAATACATGGTCTTAACAAATTTATATTATAAAATTTTTATTTTATAGATTAAATAAATTATAAGCCCCAAAGAAAGAAAAAACACAGGGATTATTTTGCACGCAGAATTTAATATTATACATTAAACTTGGATCAGTGTATTACAAATAATTCGAGCAATAAAACTGTTTTTAATCTTTTGATTTAAATTCAAATGAAAAAGACCGAAGTTTTTGAGTATCATTAAGTTCAATGAGAGCCCTTACCCTCCTAAAATATAATTTCGTTACTTTTTGAACAAAATTTAAAGTAGAAAAATTTTGAAACTGAAATCATCACCTCAGAAAAATTTCGATTGTGATCAAATGCTTTTTTTAATTTTATTTGATAGTTAAGATTCAAAATTTGGGAGTATTATAGTTTAATCCTAAGTGTGAATACTTTTTCAACAGTATTTTCTTACTTTTGGAGCAAAATTCAAAATAAAGACACCCCCTCTTAAATATTAAAAGATTTCGTTAGCTTAAAATTTATTTTTCCAAATGTCAATATTTATTTAAACCCTCTAGCCCTCCTTCTCTTTTAACAATTTTATCTCTTCAGGAATTTTCGATTTTTTTTTCGTCGCAATTTAATGCTAAATTAACTAATAAAAAGTGCTAATAACTATGCAAATGAAATTCAATCCTGTAAATAAAAGCAATTGACTGGACAAAATAATTTTAAACTATTCATATTTTATTCATAATTTTTCTCAATATCAGTCTCTTGATAATCTAATGTTTCAATTTTACATTTTATTTTGAACAGGTTTAAATGTAATAATAATGATGTACAAGTATGCATTAAAGTTCAAAGGATGCAAGCTCTCGAGGTTGAACAGCGTCGTTCGAGTGGAAAATGGCACAGAAAACGTAGCTCAAAGGACGAAGGCTCGCATGGTACAATAACGTTGTTCGAATGGAAAAGGGAACAGAAAACAAAGCTCGGAGGATGAAGGCTCGCATGGTAGAATGACGTTTCACTGGAAAAGGGCACAGAAAACGAAGCTCCAATGATGAAGGCTCTCATGACAGAATGACATCGTTCGTGTGGAAAAGAGAACGGGAAGCGAAACTCTGAGGATAAAGGCTTGCGTGGTATAATGATGTCGTTTGAATGGAAATAGGCACAAAAAATGAAGCTCAGAGGATGAAGGCTCGCATGGTAGAATGACGCCGTTTCAGTGGAAAAGGGCACAGAAAACGAAGCTCAGAGGATGAAGGCTTGCATGATAGAATGACGTAGTTCGATCAAAGGGCTTAGAAAACGAAGCTCAGAGAATGAAGGCTCGCATAGTTGAATAGCGTTGTTTGAAGGGAAAAGACTGCAGAAAACGAAGTTCAGAAGATGAGGGTTTGCATAGTAAAATGACGTCGCTCAAAAGAGGACATAAAACAAAGTTCAAAAAAAGAAGGTTATCTCATCGTTTGGTACAATGGTGATAATAGAATAGAAAAGGTAGCTCAGAGGTGAAAGGCTTTCTTGGCCTTTTTAATGATTGATTAAATAAAATTAATTTAAATAAAATTAAAATACCTCTCATAACCTGAGATAAAGAAAAACAAATCTTAAATATGGAACACAATAACATACGTTACATTAATCTGAAAAACTTCGGAATAAATAAATATTCCAATAGAAATTTTTTTTGTATACAAAATTAAATGAAGGAAATTGCTTCAGACAAAATGAAAATAAAATTTGGATAACCGAATTCTCAAATCTTATAAATAATTTTGAAAAATTTATAGTTATATACCTTAGAAGACGTCATGGTAAAAAGTAATAAAAAACGGCAAATATGCTTATCAAAACAATCGAAGTAATTAGGAATCTTTGAGATTGCAGAGTAGAATTTTTCTTAAATCGTGTTGTAAGAGTTCCCTGAAAAAAATCAAAAACAAATTAAATAACATAATAGATATAAACACTTTCATAATTTATGTTCTGAATTACTAGGTGTTTAATAATTAATACTCTTCGTACATATATATATTTTTCAATAATGCGGTTAAAAAAAATAAGCACAATAAGGGACAAAAGTCAAAATAAAACTAAAGCAAAGCCAAAGCGTGTTCAGAAACTGACGAATAACTATTGATGAAAGTTAAAATAAAAATATTCAAATCTGTTTAATTGACGGAATAAATTAAGAGTAGGTACAACGTACACTCATGTCCATAAATTAAGGATAATTCAGAATCACACGGAAATCAAACTCTAAAATTAAAATTTCACCTGTAGAATTATCACACACATCCTGAAGAAGAATATGCAAATTATAGGAAACCACTAGATGACGCTGGTTGTACGTCACAATGACGAGAGTGTAAGAGAGGGGTATATAAGGAATGGTGGCAAAGAAGTAAAATTGTTCACAAGCGCTTTAAAAGCCTTTCAGTGCAATAACCTCATAGTTATGGCACAAAGGAAGCATTTGGATGATTTTTTACGTGGAAGAATCATCGGACGACTGGAATGTGGACATACCCAGCTGGAAGTATCCGAGGAACTTGGAATCATCCAGAGTGTCATCTCCAGGCTTTGGCAACGATTCCAAGATGATGGTAATGTGAGTAGACGTTACAGCACAGGTCGCCCCCGAGTTGCAACGCCGAATGAAGACCGGTATTTGGCAGTTATTGCCAAAAGAAACAGACGGAGCACAGCATCAGATCTGTCTCGTCAGCTCTCTTCAGCTACCGGTACGACAGTTTCAAGGCAGACCGTATACAGACGCTTAGGGCACATTGGTCTATATGTTCGTAGGCCTGTCAGATGTATTCCACTTACCGCAACTCACTGTCGCCTGCGATTAGCCTGGAGTAGAGAGCATGCATTATGGAAACCGCAACAGTGGTCTTGTGTGATGTTTTCCGACGAGTCCAGGTTTAGTTTGCACTCTGATTCTCGCAGGACTTTCATATGGAGAGCGCCAGGTACCCGTTACCACCAAGACAACACCATTGAACGACACCGTTATGGTGGTGCAGGATGGCTCGTTTGGGGAGGATATATTCTTGGTTCCAGAACTGACCTGCATGTTCAGAGTGTTAAGATGACAGGCCACATCTGTAGTGATGTCATTCTGGAACAACATGTACGTTTGTTTCGGGGCGCCAGGGGTGCTGAATTTCTGTTTATGGACGACAACGCCCGTCCTCACCGTGCAAACATTGTAGACGAATGCCTTCAATCGGAGGATATCACCCGTATGGATTGGCCAGCATACTCACCGGACTTGAATCCTATAGAGCCTGTGTGAGATATGCTTGGCCGACGAATTGCAGCCCGTCAACCCCCTCCCACCTGTCTACCGGACTTTCGGAGGGCATTGCTTGATGAGTGGTGTAATATTCCCCAAGATCAGATTGATAATTTGATACTCAGCATGCCTAAGCGTTGTGCGGCTTGTATTACACCTATCCGTCATACTAACCATGTTATACTATTTTTTGTAAATAGGTTCTTTTTTGAAATTTGCTCCAGGGAGTAAAAATCGCAATTTTTATTAATTATGTCAAACATATAGCATCTTTTTTGCTCTTTACCTTTTGTTTAATACATAGACTTTACAAATAAGTCAAATTTGTTTGGCTTCTGTCTCTTTCTGTGCCTGAACTTCATTATCCTTAATTTATGGACATGAGTGTATTTTAATTCTCCGCTAACTGGTTTTAGTTTTAGGACTTCTTTTAGAAAAAATAACTTGGTAATCATTTATAAAATATGTTTAATTTTTAAAAAAAACTTAAATGAAAGTACTAATAAAAATTCAACAAAATAGAAGGCAGCATAAAGAATGAGAATTTTAAAAATTTTAAAAATATAGTGAAATAATTGGCTGAATAGTTCTGCGAGGCACGCGTGACCATGCAATTAAAAATTGTATTTTAAAATTAANTATATATATATATATGAACTATAGAAAACTTTCCAACCCAAAATAAGGGACATCCTAATGATTTTATATAAATCATTAATCGCTATTTTAAACCAAAGAACATACATAGAGAAAAAGGATAGCTTTCATAGACATAATGTAAACCATTTGGTGCAGTCCCTGTGTATAAAATAAAATTTAAAAAAACATTTAGCCTCACTGCAGCAGAAGCTCTTGAAACGGATTTGTACCTTCCTCTCCTCCCAATCACTACTGTGCACTTCTACACATTCCGAGCCACGTGGCACCAAAAATCGGTATTCATTTGCTGGCTACATAAAATTGAACTCAATTTTACCATATTTTAGTATTTTCACTAGCTCCAAATATCAGTTTAAGGTTGCACCAAAAGTAGGTGTTATCAAGAAACAAAAAATTTTATTCTTTCTTTTTTTTCTTTTATAAAAGCAGAGGAAAGTTTCAGCATTATTAGGTATTTTTAAAGGGCTTAAATGCAAGTCAAGGTCGCTATTTACCATAACAAAGCAATTTACCAAAATTAGGTTATTTTTGGACATATATCTAACCATTTTATACAGCCAGCCAAATTTAAAAATTCAACATAAAATAAATGAACTCTAATCAATCCAAATAAAATATTTACCTAAATGAATCAAAGTTTTATGTCATTTACCAAATTTTTGCGCAGTCAGTTGTACAATGAATATATTTCTCGATCATACTTCTCAATTTATGGTGTAACTAAAATAAAATGATCTTTCATTTAACTAAACTTTGGGATAATGAGAGACTTTATACCAAATATTGGTTAAAGATTTACTGAGTTTCTTTACAAAGTGGATAGGGAAGGAGAAATAAAGTTTTCTCTTGTTATTTATTGATGGTTTGTTCTGAATTTCTACACTATTGATAAACAGTACTGCGCAATAATTTTTTTTTTAGAATACATTTATACCATCCATGATCATTAAATCTACTAACACATTCTGTCATAAAAATAAAGAATAAAATGGCGGTTGGCGGAAAGCAGTGTACCCAAAAAAACATGTAGAGTTGTCTAAGAACCGGTTGGCAGGGGATGTACCTCCTGACTGTCTTATATTGTTTCGTGTGAGCTGGATGTACTAAATATATACACTGAGTGGCCAAATTATTATGACTACCTCAGAGTTTTATGGAAATGAGAAATTGCGTCACAGCGTTGCCGCTATAGGGCAAGATAACAATAACACGGGAATGCTGGACAAGTGAGTCATCAGTTATACTGTGTTGCTTGCTCAGATATGGGAAAGAAAAGTGATTTAACTGAATTTCAACGTGGAATGATTGTGGATGCGAGATGTGTCGGAACGAGTATCAGCAAAACGGCTGCTCTTGTGAAGTGTTCTAGAGCAGCAGTTGTTAATGTGTACAAAGAATGGACAATCAAGCAAAAAACCGGTTCTCAACGTCAGACTTGTGGTCGTCACAGGGTACTGAATTCTCAATCAGAGAGAAGGCTGGCCAGGGTTGTGCAGCGCAACAGTAGAGCAACAGTGCGACAAATTGCAAATGATCTTAATCCAGGAGCAACTGTGAACTTCTCTGAACAGACTGTTCGACGCAATTGCGCCGTATAGGGTATGGAAGCAGACGACCTGTTCGTAAGCCTCTACTGTCTGCTTTAAATAAGCGCAGATGTCTCCAATTTGCAAAGGAGCACAAACATTGGACAGTAGATGAGTGGAAGAGGGTCATGTGGTCTGATGAATCACGATTTCAAATGCATCGCGCAGATGACAGGATGAGAATATGGAGAAAACAGCACGAAAGCACGTACCCCAACTGCATTGCCACAACACTTCAAGCTGGTGGTGGCAACGTTATGGTATGGGGAATATTCTCTTGGTATTGTATGGGTCCTTTTATTCCTGTAGCACAATGCCTTTATGCCCAAGGGTATTTTAGTATCATCGCAGATCAAGTACATTCGTTTATGTCAATGGTTTACTCTGGCGGGGATGGATACTTCCAGCTGTATAACGCTCCTTGTCATAAAGCTGGCATTGTCCTCAGATGGTTCAAAGAGCATGACGGAGAATTTAACTTGCTTCGTTGGCCAGAACAATCTCCAGATCTCAATCCAATTGAGAATTTGTGGGATAAAATTGAACAGGCGCTCAAACAAATGGTTCCAGTACCATCAAATTTGCAGGAATTGGCAAGTGTAGTTCAGCGAGCATGGTCTGGCATACCTTCTACCACCTAATAACATCTCATAGAATCCATGCCCAGACGAATTAAGGCAGTAATGCGCGCAAAAGGTGGCCCAACAGCGTACTGAAGGGGTGGTCATAATAATTTGGCCACTCAGTGTATATATATATATATTTAGTACATCCAGTATATATATATTTAGTACAAAATTTATTGAGCTTAAGCTGCAAGTAAACAGAACTCGTTAGATAAGTTCAAAATGAAGAATAAAACAAAGAAAAATTAAAGACATATGAAAAAAAAGAGGGGGGGAATAATAAGTAAAAAAATAACAAACAACAGTTAAAAAAAAAGATGAAATTTTATTTAAAAAACCGGAAAAAAAAAAGATATAATATTTTCATCAGCCCACACGATTATATCCGCAAAACAGAGTGCTTTCTGATATTGTATCAATAAAGCCAAAGCAAAATATATTAATACAATAGTGTGAGGAGCACTCAAAATTTTTTTTTATAGAAATTACAGCAAATAAAATGGAACACAAAAAGTTAAAATAAGTAAAAATAACATGTAAAATAGACAGACATCTATTTTCTAAACTTATTTATGGTCAATTTTTAAAATTGTCCAGTATAATATTACCTTGCGCACATCCATTTCGGGCCCTTCCTTGGTAACTAACAAATCAATGCTCAGAATAACAAATCACTTCAGCAGTGCAGTAAGAACGACACTTTAAAACCCTCTTGTTAGACTCAATTTGCGCTTTTGTTTTCATATTTTGTAATCTGGCAATCTTTCTGCGAAACCTTTTCTAAATCATTCTTGAAAAATTTCCCGTCCATGTAAGTTGATCTGATTTCGCTACTCGCTTTATAGTCCATTTTTATACTGTTTTTTCTTTTTTTTAATTTTATTTTCTGTTTTTACATGTTGTTTTTACTTATTTTAACTTTTTGTGTTCTATTTTATTTGTTGCAATTTTTATTAAAAAAAATTTTGAGTGCTCCTCACACTATTGTATTAATATATTTTGCTTTGGCTTTATTGATACAATATCAGAACGCATTCTGTTTTGCGGATATAATCCTGTGGGCTGATGAAAAGATTATATCTTTTTTTCCGGTTTTTTAAATAAAATTTAAGTTTTTTTTTCTTTTTCTTAAACCGTTGTTTGTTATTTTTTTGCTTATTATTCCCCCCCCCCTTTTTTTCATATGTCTTTAATTTTTCTTTGTTTTATTCTTCATTTTGAACTTATCTAATGAGTGNTTAATTATATATATATATATACATATATATATAGTACATATGACACTCTGCTAAATCTGCTCACCGTGTAAGATGTTTTTCTGGTATATCATATCGCACCCTGCTTTAGTTACATACTCGTAGAACTGTATTTCTTCTCCTTTCAATATTTTTTGTTTTAAACTTTTCAAAATTCTTATGTTACAGCTATCAACAGATCTCAAAAAAAGTGGAAAAGAGCTTGTAAGAAGGAAGAAAAAGTATTCACTTTAAAAATGAATTAATAAAAAAAATAATTTTAATATATTAATAACTAATAAATAACGAAAAAATATAACCTCTTTCTCAACTCTGATGGTTACATCTGCAAAACAAGGTGTGCTTTCTGGCATTGTATCAACTCAAGAAAAGTATATTTGCATAAATGTGCGAAGAAAACCAAAATAATAATAATAATAAATATTTTTTGGCATGTAAAATTAAGTAAATCAAATCAAATGAAATCTCATCAAATGCGAAACAAAAGGCATACTAATATAAAATATAGGAGAGAGAAAAATATAGCCAGTTACCTACGATAAATAATTTAAAAATATAATGTCATAACTTGATTGCTAGGTTTTGGTTTTAAATATAACATTAAAGAGTAGTGAGGAAAATTTCAAGTGTGTTCATAATGGAGTTTAAGTTCAATTTGATCAGTTGAATGGTTCCATAATTTGATAGGCCGTTTTATATTTGCCGTATAAATGTTTATATACTTATTAATATATATATATATATA